TAGAATGCCTAGCTCAATAGTTTTCAGTACAAAAAATGGCTGTAGCAGTGTCTCAAAATTTTGATACATAGTGCTTTCATAGTCGTTTAGTACCAAATTTTTCTTTATTTCTTCTTTAAATAAAGAATCTTTTAGTATGTGTTGCTGGTTACCAGATATATAATTGTATAGTAATGTATAATAACTTGGGTTAATATATAGTAATTTACAGTGATTTTAATTGTTATTGATTATATTGCATTTTAGTCAGAGATCACATTCCATCATGTGTTGATTCTTAAGAATTTGTTGAAACTTCCTTTGTGGCTTACTACATAATTTTTGCAAATGTTCTTATCCGTTAAAAACAGACAAATAAAACAGTTTTCTCTCTATCTATAAGTTACTTAATTGTTTTGTTCAAATATTTGTACCTGTACTTTCAAATAGATTATTGATTTATCTATTTTTTAAATTGTAGCTTTGCCTTCTTTTGTTTCATATATTTGGAAGTTATATGGAAGACATTTTCATAATCATTATAGCTTATTTACATATTGTTTCTTTACCAGTGTGTTACCCAAGTGTTTGTGTCTTATGAGTTTCTTCCTATAATTTATTTGTTTCTGATATTGAAATTACTTTCCTGGACTTTTTTAGACACATTTCTCTGATTTGCATTTTTCTATCTTTTTCAAATTTTTTGCATGATGTTTTTAAAAAAGTGTTTAGTTCACAATCTATTGTTGTATCAATATTTGTTAACATCTAGTTTGAGAATCTCTTTATTTTGCTATGTAAATTTAACTCTTTGCATTTATTTTAATCATTGATTTGGAGAGCTATTTTTGCTCTCTTTCTATGTTTTACATATACTATACTTAATTTTTACTTCTTTTATTTGTCTCCTTTCCCACATTCCATTTGATGAATCAATATTTGTCACTTCTGGTTTGAAAGTTATTTATTCCATTTTTATTCTTTGATGTTATCCTTAGCTCATACTTGTTTTCATTTGTCTCATCAATTTCTATCGCAAGACTTCTCCCCTGGACTCTTCACAGGAACTCTCTTTTTCCCACACTAAGAATTTTATATCATCCAGGGTTTTAAATCTGAGTCATGAATGTACACTTTGGGGGTACAGGGTCATTGCTAGTTTAGACAAAACATACTTTCCTAAAGTATTTATTAACTCAATACTGTTCTTCCTTAGTCATTTTCTCCTTTTCCTAACAGTATATCATTCAGATATGCTTATCAAATTTAGTGGAATTATTATATTTACATAGATAACTCATCAGCTAGTCCTTGAAGTCCTTCAAAACAGGGACTTCTGTGCTTTGTTTATTGTTGTATCAACCAACATGTAATGTGGAATATATTAGGTATTTGATAGATATTTTTCAATTGATGCTTAAATGAATGAACATTCTCCGGGTCACTAGGAACAGTCTTGAGCATTGACATACATTTATTGAACATTTATTGAATTTCAGAAAGTTGGATCATCACAGGCCATTAAGACCTTTACCTTTAAATTATGTTTCTCTTTTGCTTGTTTTCCATGCCTCTCAAACCCAATTTGTTTTCTCTTTCCCCTTTGTGGTCAGAATTCATTCAATAGTAGACATTAGGTTATTTACAGCTCTTGTTTTCCAATAGGTTGAACTCTATTAAATCTTTAACTTGTCATTTTAAGCCATTATTAAACAGAAAAAGATGCGAGGAACTGCTCTAAAAGAGTTTAAGAAAAACACCTTGAAGAATTTGACTTCAGTAGCTTCTACTTTGACAGGATTTTTTAGCATCTGCTATAAGAAGTTTAGTAAACAGTATCTGTCTTGTGACCTAAATTAATTTCTAATAAGAGGGCAGGAAGTATTTAATGCTTGAAATATGAAAGGGGCACGTGAGGCAATTTACTCAGTCCTGACAAAGGAATTAAGAAACAAGGGGGAAAGAGGCTTTTTCCCATGTTGAGTTTTTGATTGATTTGGAAATGTTCTAGGAAAGGCAGAAATAATGAAAGGTCCTGTTGTGTTAGCACTGGTATCCTACAAAATAGTCCAGTATGCTTTCCTTATTCTAAAAAAGAAGTCCAGTGACCCAGCTATCCCTCAGGCACTGTATTCTTTCTCATCGTTATTTAATAACTAACATCCGTAGAATAATAGACGTCACTTCTAACCATGCACTTTTTTTTAACTTTTTGAAATCCAGCTTTGACTCTCATTGTTCTAATCACATTTGTCTTCGTCATCAATAGCAATGGCTCTTTTTTCAATTATGTTTTTAAAAAAACATCTTGCAGCATTTGATACTATTAACTGGAGCTCCTTGACAGTCTCCTCTCCTTTGAGATTGAAAGATTGATTTTAATTTGCCGTCTACGACAACCCCCTGACTAGAATTCCTCCCAACATCATCCAAACGTAGCCATTCCTTAAGGGTCTGTTCTTTGTGTGTTTGTTTTCCTCTCTATATTCTCTCCTTCAAAAGTTTCATCTTATTGTTTGAACCACTTTCTATATGGATTTTAATAGTATATCTTTAGTTCTAACTCCTCTTTTAGCTTTAGGCTTAAATTTCCCAAGCCTCAACAATATTAAGATTGGATTTATTAATATTACCTTCAAAATTTACTTCTCATCCTAGGTTTTCTTTCCCTGTCAATATTTCCAATATGACTCTGTTTATCTAAGCTCTTTAGCCTTGACTCATCAGGACCCAGAGACTGTACATCCACTTTGTATTAAATTGAATGAAGGATGAAAGAGTATGCCACCCCAAAATATGCCACTTTGGTGTAAGGATTACTTTGAGGTAAGACATTTGAAAAATAGCAGATGCAAGAAGGGCATTCTGATCTCCTGTTTTCTTCATGAAAACAGGAGATAAAAACTCCCATGTGAAAGATATGCTCCCTGTACCCGGAAAAACAAAAAATTCTTCAATGGGGAATCAAAGTTGAGAAAATTCTGTACAAACAGACCTTGCTGAAATAATTCTTATCTTTCTCCCGCTTCCCACATAGTTACTTTTCTACAATTGCCTCCCTTTGTTCAACCTGGTATTAAAGCATTTAGGTTTTGCCTCTTCTTTGAGTGCTCATTTCCTTATGAGGGATCCCGTGTCAGATAAAACTCACGTTAAAAAATTTGTATCCTTTTCTCCTGTTAATCTGTTTTGTCTGTTTAATTTTCAGACACAGCTGAAAAAGCAGAAGAGGGTAAAGATACAATTTTGCCACCCTTCCATTATTAACCTCTATTGTTTCTAACTTCCACATCATTCCTCTTTGTCCCTACTTTTATTCTTTTTTGTTGAAATATTATGAAATCTTCATAAATAACCTCTATTCATTTGGCTGAAAGGATTTTTAAGAGAATAATGTTGGCCAAATCATTTTCTTGCTCCTAAATCTTGAACAGCTCCTCACTGCCTGTTGGATAATATCCAGCATCCTTGGGTTAGTATTTGGGGCACCAGTTTGCCTTAGACTATTTTGCATACGACTTTTTCCTCAATACCCTACCATGTACCTAATTATGCAAACAAGATACAGAATCAACCTGTCCTCAAATATGGCTTCATGGTAATCTTTTGGGACTCTTTTGTTGCCCTTCCCATGTAAGTCGCTAAATAGCTCCCTCAGCTAAAACTACATTACTTTATTTTCCTTTCACTTACTTTAGTATGTTATCCATGTATACACCTAATATGTAAGAACTATTTATAAAAGCAATGTATTTAAATTTGAGAAGAAGGAGTTATCAGGGAAAGAAATATTTCCACTTACTTTAAGAGAAACCAAAAGCAGAAGGATGGCGGCATTCCCCCACAAAGTCAGCACGCCATCTAGTGACAGCTCCACCAAACTACAAACCTTGCCTCTCAGGCCTGAGTCTGAAGATCCACCTTCAAATTTTCCTCAGGGAATATGTCAAAACAGACCTTCTGTTCCCCAATATAATACAGTACCACAAGAAAAATAGTCCATAATGCTTACTATTTGTATGGAATTAGACACTATATACCAACTAATTTGGAGTTGATTATATACATCAGTTCAGAGAAACAGACAGACCTGAAGTTTTTAATGTGTTGACACTAATCAGTGATGCTCATGGATCAACTATGAAAGAAGAAATTTAAAGGAATGCCTGTAAGTTTGGATAAATCGCTGATAAAACGTGAGAAACTTCTTGTCTCCTGTGATAACATACCTAGCAGAGTACACTCTGAATGAATATTAGGTGAGGGGTGGCAAAATGGTTCATAGTAAGCAGACTTTGTAGCCAGATGGCTTCTCACTCCCACTTCCGTGAATTGGGGCACGATACTCAATCTCTCAAAATAACCATTTTCACCCCTGGAAACGTGGGGATAACAACGTCTTTGTTGTGAGTATAAGGAATAATATATACAAAATGCTTGGTCTATAGTAAGTTTTCAATGAAAAAATGGTAGTTTGTTTTTAATGATTGCCATCCTTTTTAAACTTTCATGATTTGTATAGAGAAAATAGTTGTTTTTCAAGCTTAAAAACTGTTTTTCTAGGTCCTCTATTTCTTTTTTGAGGAAGATTAGCCCTGAGCTAACATCTGCCGCCAATCGTCCTGTTTTTACTGAGGAATCCTGGCCCTGAGCTAATATTCATGCCCATCTTTCTCTACTTTATATATGTGGGATGCTTACCACAGCATGGCTTGACGAGTCGTGCGTATGTGTGCACCCGGGATCTGAACCAGCGAATCCTGGGCCACCAAAGTGGAATGTGTGCACTTAATCACTGAGCCATGGGGCCAGCCCCCGGTCCTCTATTTCTTTGTCACAGTATAGAGTGCATATTTGATAGACACAATTACTGTCAATATCCGGTGAAAGATAACTTGCCTACTTAGTAAATATCTGACAAAAACAATTACTAAATAAATAAATAAATAAATAAATCCACTAAAATTTGTATCTACTATATTTTTTTAAGTATTCAGAAGAAGCAAGTTGTTCTTACTTACAACTTTCCAGTTGCATTATACATGTCTGTACATCCATTGGAAAATTCTTGAGATCCATTGGACAAGAGAGTGTTAAAGTCAATCTGAAAGAATTCAAAGTAATTATTTTTAAAAGAGATTTGTAATATCATAGTAATATTTCTCTTGTTCAAGGCACAATTGAAAAATGATATTGCTTTGGTAGTGACTAACATCTATGCAAGTAAAATTTGTTCCAGCTTGGGTATTGTTTTTACTATGAAATAGTTGTACCCTTATGTAGAAATCTGTTTCTTGGGGGGAGAAAAGCTGTATATGTAAACATCCAGTCACATTTGTATATTTATTTTTTCCTTTACAGAGGTCTGTAGATGTCTAAAAGAGGTCTATATTTCCAGAAGATACCTAGAAAAAAGAAATTTGAGAATGGATTCTATAAAATTAATACCAAATACCAAAAAGCACACTTCCCCAAAATCACGCGGACAGCATTTTTGAGGAGGAAAGTCTATCTGGGGAGTTGGAGTTCTGAATGTGGAAAGGCAGGATTCAGAGAGACAATCCTGCGTGACAACTCTCAATCATCCTTATAACTACATTGAAGAGGTTGTCAGTGAAAATTCAACAGTATTTAGCAGAGGAACAAATTCTGAATCTGAAGGACTTGAAAATTTTGGGTATTAGAATGGTGTTCTCTGCCATGAGACCAGGGCATTTCACCTGATCTCATCAGGGTCAATAAACAGCCTTCTAGATGTGTGTGGTGATGGATGGTAATTAGACTTTGGGTGGTGAACATAACGTCGTCTACACAGAAATCAAAATTTAATGATGTACACTTGAAATGTATATAAGGTTATAAACCAGTGTTCCTTCAGTTAAAAAACAATAGCCTTCTAGACTATGTTTAACATAATTCCATGCTCACCAAACAAACTTCTGATTTGGCTTTAATGTGGGATAACCTGGATGGTGTACAACAGCATTCCACCCATTTCTTTCCCCCCTGAAGAATGTAGCCGCCCCTGACGCAGAAAGGGTTAATAATCACTGGAAAAGGCTTGCCGACAAACTGTGACCAGGAGGTGAGAAGGCCGGTCAGCCAATGAAGGGTAAGACCTCCAGGGGGAGGCAACCTAAGACAGGCATCGGCCACCCAGGGGCACAGATGGAGAAACGATATCGATATCGGGAGCAGGAGGGGCCGTTGCCTAAGAGACCTTGCCTGCTCCGAGACAAAAATATACGAGCACAGCAATAACATGATAACATCAAAACAGACGCCGAGGGAGGGCTCCTTGAGAAATCACTAAGAATTCTTGGCATTCGCTAATTACTTCATCCAGAACACCTGTGTATGTTTAACAGGTGTAAGCTATGTATATATGGAAACGCTGGTTATAATAAACTCAGAGTGGCCATCAGCCCTCTCCGCATCTATCCTGATGTGTACATTGGATTGCGACACCGACAAAGAAAGTATTTGTACATTGGAATTCCAGATAATTCATCACTCTTGAGTTCTTTTTTTATTGGAAAGTATACTATCGAGATATCTTCAGGGAATACCAAGAATTTGTAGTTCCTGGACCTGAGAAAAATAGGCCCAGATCCAAACAAACCCAAGTTTATTCAAACAAAATTCTTTTATGAGAGCTCTGTAGCCATATCCTTTATTGAAAGCATTCCCTCTGAAGTTCAGTATCTCAAAGGGCACCCTGGGTGGATTTGTTCACATAAGCTTTGTGACTGTAGGTCGGTCACTTCACTTCACTATGTCTCAGTTTCCTCATCTCCAAAATGAATATAATAGTAGTCCTTTCTCCAGAAAGACATTGCGAGCAATACATGAGTTAAAATATGTAAAGTGCTTAGACAAATGCCGGGCATATGATAAACACTCAACAAATATTAGTTATTAAGGATTACTGGTACATTCTACCACACCTAGACTTCCCCACCTTCCCCTCCCCAAAATCATATAGGATGGGCACAAAGATGACTGAGTTAAATCACACATAAAACCTGTTTAACTTTTAACAAAAAGTAATCATCAGCTCTACTAAATGTAACCACATTCTCCAAAATGGCATTTTAATGTAGACCATAGACATAAAGTTATAATGATGTACGTTTTCCAGTGAATACTCTTGGTGAGTAGAGTATTCAAATAATTTGACATAATTTTAGAGACACAAACAAACAGACATTGAAGCTGCTGATTTTTTTAAGAGTTCCAGGAGGATCATTTGACAATTAATTCAAGTCAGAGTCCATAACACACTAAAACAATTTATAGAGTTCATTCTTCAAAAGCAATTTTCTCCTGGCTCAGCCAGGTTAAGTGATCCTGTAAGGATGATCTTGCAGATTTACAAAGTTCTCTCTTAAAAAGGCAATTGTAAAATCAGATGGACACAATGTTCTCTATCTTGTGAAAGAGTTTATAAGGAGTGCATGCACAAGTACATTTTGAACGTACGCACATTAATTTTCCAAACATCCACAGCTGTCTGGCCAGCCAGTTTCAAATGTTGGTTTGCGGAATTACTTCTGTGACCTTTTGTATGGAAGTAAATAGCATTCTCAGAATCTTTTCCAGGCTCTCACCATGCATGTGATGTCAAATACATATCCTGGCTATTTTTCTGGCATAAAATGAGAGGTATTACATAATTCTTTAAAAAAAAAAGCGCTTGAAAGAAATTATTTGGCAAAGAAAAACACTCTTTGTAGAAATTCTGTCATAAATCATACCCTGAGAAACATCTATTTATTAACTTTCTTTCTTTTTGTTTAAGGTACAATACAATTGCTTCTTTAACAGCATATGACTGGAAAACTGTGTCAGCTTGGTGGCTGTGATACTGAATTTCTTCATCAAAACATTCGAAATAAATTAAAGATATGTCCTGACCACATCAAAAGAAAACTAAATCAAAGGCAATTAATCATATTCTACTGTTTTGGAAATGAATATCTTCTTGTGTAAGAGAAGACACAAAGTTCTCGTTCTGAGACAAGACACATAAACAGGATGTGGAGTTTTTTTCTCTTAGGAAGTCTTGGTTTAGTGAAATAGAAACGTTAAAAAGGATGACTACAATCTGTGACAAACAATTGACCTCATAAAGTGAAGTGTTACTCGTTTTGAACGAGCAGTGCCCAGAGCATTGTGTCTATCTCAAGCCATTAATGGAAGTATTAAAAACAAAAATGTTTTCTGACTCCAGTTTAGGCTCTTTATAAAAATGAAAAATATTTTTATTCGTTCCTAATATTTTTAAATTTAGTGTTACAAGAACAATTGCCTCCATTAATCATCAGCTTTGAATACTGTCTGTACTCCTAATAGGTAACACATCTACAGTTCTTATTATATTGTAGACACTACTTAAAAACTTTATATAAATTTCGACTTATTTCTTACTACAAATTTGTAAGACAGGTAAACCGTATTATCCTATTTTAGAGATGAGGAAACTGAGAGGGTAACCCGCCTGACATTACAAAGCAGAAACTGCAAAGGCAAATTTGCACCTCTGGGAGGCTGGCTCCAGATTCTATGCGCTTAACCTTCAAGGCTATGCCTTTCCAAGGCACTGGAACATTTTTCATGAAAGCAGGTTCTCTAATTAACATGACCTTTAAAATTTTATATTTCTGTAACATAAGAAATGATATATTTCCTACAGTATTTGTTATTACGTTTAAAGTAAAAGATACATAAATGACTATTCCAAAAGAAATCAGAGAAATTTATTAAACTTTAGAAAATATAAGGAATTTCCCCAAGGATTTTCTATATTTTCTTGAGTGAATTGTTATTTTATTATGAAGTATTCTATAAAGAGTAAATAACTCACAAGAGATTAGACTGTTGGAGCACTAGAAGGAAGATTGTAACTAGTGTTCTAATCTGGAGTTTTGTTGTCATCTGATTGTATAGATGATCATAAAACTTATCAACCCATGACCAATGCAATCTCAATATTGTTGATAGTCCCTTTAGGAAGTTGATATAAGCTATGGACGGACCTTTTCAGAAAAATACGCATAATCACACTCGCGCAAAATTCTCCACACAACATATATTTTAAGGCATTGTAAATTGATTTCCCTTCAATAAACAGCATCTTAAAAAGCTTCTGTTGAAATAAGTTTCCATTTTCTATTTAAAAATTAATGTCTGTTAATGTTCAAAATTAAATACACAGTGTACAAATAAATTTAATTCTTTTCACAACTGAATTTCAGAGAAAGAGTGATTGTATCAGCTTAAATAAAAGTTGAAATTATGCTATAATTTTTGACAAGTTGCTGTGTGTAGAATTTTTAATATAAAGTTTCCTGAAATCTGATTTTTAGTGCAATCATGCTTCTATAATATGAGTAGTGAAGTTGGATATATTAGTAAAGTAAGCAGTAAATAACATTTAACTGTGAAGTGCTATCATTATCATGTGATGAGGATATTACCATCCCTATTTTACAAGTGATAAAACTGGGGTTTCGATAGATTAATAATTTTTAAAAGTCCATACAGTGCTAATTTAAGTATTCTGTAAAAACCAGAATTTATGCCTTTTTTGGATTTGTTTTCTTTTTGGAAAGACAGAAGTAACAGCATTAGTGCTTACTGCATGCCTGGCACTATGCTAAGTGCTTTACATATTTTATTTCAAGCTCCAGGTAATTAGCATTTTCACTATCATGCATAAAACAAAAAATGAGCCCTTCATAAATAAAGAGCCTTGCCCAAATCACAGCTAGCAAATCATGGAGCCTGGATCTGGGCTGGGAGAGACAGTCCTCCTTGGGCCTTTTGTGTGTGTTGGTATGCCTCTTGCCAGGTGTGTCAAGACTGTAAAGGCCTGGCTGTTCTTTTACCTGAGCCATTTCTCAGGATTATTTATGCACCTGCTAATTTTAAGAGATGAGATAATGTTGTTCCACTGGACAAAGAAAAGGCTTGTTTACAGCTTGTTATAAAAGCAGTGGATCCCCCAAACTCAGTGTCCCACATCTGTGACACAGACCCACGGTATCTGTTATGTCCATCTGGACCTGATGCATCATTTCAAGGAGACTTGAGGACAAGGGA